AGTTCCCCGAAACGATTTCTGGTAATGATTGAACTCATAATTGAATGAACACTAAAACAAATGTCGCTTCTATAATAAAGACCAATAAGCACTCAATGTGGGCATTCTTAGCAAACCCATTTGAAGGAATATTCCGAAAAAAACATAATTTTTCTTATGAACTTTAAAAAAAGGTCATTCTGGACCACGAAGCCCACATGTGGGCTGCAGTCGCGAATGGACGAAAAGCGCGCCGGTCCCTCGCGGCGCTTTTCCCGCAAAAAGTGATTGTCGGAACAGGGCACTTGTTTGAATTAATGTCAAAAAGCGGTATGAGAGCATTTATTGGCAAAAAACAAAACAAAAACTGGCACACACCCACAGCAAATGAGCAAACACACGCCGCTCGACCACTGCCTGATTTCAGTCTTCAATGATTCAACCGACGTGCGTCCGTACGTCTGTCGTTGCGTGCGAGGCGCAGCGCACGTCGGTGGAATCGTTGAAACCACGCTGGACGTCGATGGATCACTTGCCAGTATTCTCAACAGTGGCTAGCACCGCTGTCGCTCCGTCCGTCCGACCGTCGCTCGCACCCATGCGACGGACGGACGGTCAAACGGATCGTTGAAGTCTAAAAGCAGCCACTGCCACTGCTCCAGGGCGACTTTTGCGAACAATTGCACATTACACGCGGCATTATCTCTCCAAGCTTCGAGCGTGCAAACTTTGATGACTCACGACTTTTTTGGCAGACTAATTTAGCAGTTTTAATTCCTAGCTTTTGTACTAGCGTTCCAAACTCTATCGATAAAGCTAGTCTCTATTCAAAGTTCTGTTGAAGGTAAATCCTCTCCTGGTGAGAAACAATACGTTGCACTTACATTCAAAAGTTCGTGGTGACCTGCTGGCGTCAACGCTCGACACATTTGTGTAGAAGGAGGTCACGTCAAATAATTCTATGACGTGTCTCCCGCACTTGGTTAGGAAACCTGGTGTTGCTAAGGTGGTTGGGGACAAATATCAGTAGTTGGGTCAGCACAAGGTTCAGCAGCCATGAAATCTTGTCGGTAGAACCTCCTACACTACCTATTATGAGGCTAACCTGAACGTCCAAAGGAGGACAGGATATCTGACGAAATTTATGCGTTTTGACGAGGACATAGAGAACGGGCCAGACCAAGAGGTCATCATGTTCGAGATGCATTCTAGTTGTAACTTACTAGGTACTAGATATTTTAGGATGTGCTTGAGAGAAGCTGAAGTCTCAAATAGCGTTTGACAATTATCAGTCCAACTTATCCTGGCGTTCAGGCTCTGACGAGGGCGGCAAGGCCTAAACATTAGAAAAATAAAAAAAATGGTAACTTATGGCCGAGGCTTCACAGGGAAGCTAATATTGTTGTTTTGCAGATTCTATTATATCCTGAGGGCACAGATAAATGCCCGTTGGCTACGGAAAGGAGTCGAAAATACGCGGAAAAAAATGGTCTGGTAAATTATGAATACGTGCTGCACCCCCGAACCACTGGTTTCGTGTATATTATCCAAAACATGAGGAAAGGTACAGTGAATTTTCTCTATAGTTTTATGGGTTTGAGCATAGGTCACCGTTAGCTTAGCTTTTCCTGGCCTTCTTTATCCTTGTACTATAAGTCGTATATGTCAATAATTTTAGATTGCTCATGGATTGAATTCCTATGCTTGCCTATCCTACTTACTATAAAGCGCTTCGTCTGTCGTTCTGTCTGTCTGTCGTTCTGTCTGTCTGTATGTCTGCCACGAAATTCTTTAGTTCCGACCGGGTCAAGCGTGGGATGGGTGGGCGATGTCCCAAGGAGTATAAAGCACACATCAGCTTGGCGGAGCCCCCCCCCACAATGGGCGTGACGTGCATCGAAATGAGCTGCACTGAGGACCATGATTTCAAATTCAGTCACAAGACGGCTTCAAAACTGGGGTCTAAAGGTGGCTAGAGTTATGCATAGGTAAGTTGGATCGAATTGGGGAGACCCACCCGCGATGGGCGGGGCGTTCTCCAAAAATGCAATGCATTATGAAAACATTTATAACTCGGTTCGGCGAAAGCCAACAGAGCAGGAAAAAGTTGATGTGGGAGGAGCATTGTCGAAGGTGTCTCCAGCATAAATGACGTCAGCGAACGTACGCCCACAATGGGCGGAGCGTGCCTCGAAGCTCACATCCCCTCTTACATTTATATACGGAAATCCATAACTCCGGTTCCCATAGACCTAGAGAGTTCAAATTTTGTAGAAGTACATGCGGCATGACGGGAAAACTTATGGTGGGTAGCAGGACCAGACTTCGCCCACAAGAGGCGGTTTTGGGCGAAAATTCATAAGACCTGTCCCCATGGACCTAGAAAGCTCAAACTTGGTAGGAGTACAGGCGCCATGATGGGAAAACTTAAAGCCATGATGTTGGGTAGCAGGGCCGAACTTCGCCGACAGGGGGCGGTGTTTGAGCGGGAACTAGTAAATCCGATAAAGGTCTATAATGAGAATTAGCTCATGTAGCTCCGTCTCTCATGGCTAGAGCCCCTAACACACGCGATAGCGTGCGTAACCGCCTGGTAAGACATAGTGGTCTACACAAAACCACATTGCTCATTCTGCTCTGCTTTTGGGACTTTACTTCCGAGCAGTTTTTAAAGAGATTAAGTTCATTCTTCCAAATTCCGAAGGACTTCTGGTGAAAAATTCCCTATATGAGCTAATATTCGATGTCGTAGTGTCGTAGAGTGATCACAGTATCCCTGACTGTTGTCTTTTATCATACTTTTACCAGTCGAATCGCCCGGCTAACACCAGGCTCTCCTCCTTTCTCCTTTCTTTGACAAAGTTGTAGTAATCGGCTGACTCTCCACTCCTTTTTTTGAAACAAATAACAGTTTCCAGCACACGAAATTTGATACAGGACTAACAGGACAGTGCAATGGCAATGTTTTTGAGAATGTTGAGGAGATGAGGAGACCTTGGTTTTATTATTAACCGCAACCTAATAATTTTGATGACCATATAAACAAGATTGTCAGCAAAGCTGCCAATAAGATCCTCAATTTTTATAAAACGTTCAGAAGCAAGGGTGTCCAAGTAATTCTTCGTGCATTTAAAACTTATATCCGCCCTATCCTTAAAAATGGAACTGTTATTTATAGTTCACAGAAGAAAACCCTTATTAAGACTACTGTGAAAGTACAAAATGACTTCACTAGGGAGCTATTAATTAGAGTTCGGGGGTATAACTATATGAATATACCTCACAGTGCTACTAGAAATGAAATGCTGGGCTTACAGTCACTTGAGCAAAGAAGGAAGCTGAATGATGTACTTATGCTCTACAAAATTCTTAACGGGAAAGTTTCTATTGATAAATCTAACAATAAGCTATTCTCTGCAGGAGACTCTCGTACTCGGGGAGGCAACCTCAAGGTATATCTCCCGAGATCAAGATTCTACATCGATCTCACTTTTTCTGCCACCGTGCTGGCTTAGAATTCAACAGAACCGTGAAACGGGGTGATGTGCCGAAAACCATTGCTCAGTTGAAAAAACTTGCGACTCAACACTTCGAATGAAATCGTGGTGCACAACTTAGGTCACTTTGCATTCTATTTTCACAATGTGGCTAACTCACTTTCAGTTTACCACTGGTTTTCCTCCTTTTCAGCGTGCGTGCCGTTACATTCGATTTAATTTATTTCCCACTCTTCCATTATTATTTCACCATTATGAATCGTAGCCTTGGTTGTTTTGTGCTCTGGTTCATGTTTTTTGCTATGGCTTCACGTGGATGTCTTCGCGTAATAAATCAAATCAAATCAAATGGTAATCCGTAAAAGTCGGTGCTTACGCCCTCAAATGGAAGTGTCGATCTTCTGCTCTCTTAAAAATGAGTACCCATCAAAAATTCAACTGTTAGGCAACCAAAGATGATGCTGTGGAGATGTTCTGAGTGATGATAGCACAGTTATCAGCTATCTTCACCAATGTATCCTTTTCTTTACGGAGATATCATTGTTTGAGAATCTCAGATTACTGGCGGTCGGCTAGGTTTTGTCACAAATGATATCGATAGAGGATCCTCCACTGATTGGTGAGTCACAAGCCCTGCTGGATAGCGGTCGTAATCTAATAGCAAGAGATGAACAAAATTCTCATTTGCTTATCGTATTGCCGCTGAAGGGTCCCTATCACTGCACTCACCACTCACTTTTGTCACACTACTCTACCATATCGTCTTATCAAATAAACATACTGAACAGCCAAAGCAGTATCGTGAATACCGAGTGCGTTAGGATTTTGGTCGGTGGTTCTTGCTCTCTCTGAAGTTCCACTGTTAACACGAAAAGGGTAATCCTACCAAATTACGAATTTGCGCCCCAAATTTCTATCGCGCACGCCCCGCTCCCTGTAAACAGAGTTCTATCCTGCCACCAACCGTAGTGTTCCTATCTGCCCCCCCCCCCCCCCC